TTTCTTTTATTTGTGGTCGCACATGAGAAGACGTGAAATTTCCCATTTCAGACCATGTGTCATTCCCTAGAGCATCATTTCTTTGTAGTCGCACATGAGAAGACATGCAAAATTTTCCATTTCAGACCATGTGTCATTCCCTAGAGTATCATTTCTTTGTGCTTATACATGAGAAGACATGTGAAATGGTTGTGGAATGAAATGGGAAAAGATTACAGCCAGGCTAAAAGGATCTTGAGAATAATAATGTGCCCTATGAACTTACGTCATCAGCAAAGTAAGTCAAAGCTTCAGTATAATCTCCGTTAGCAGCATTCAACAACCCAAGATTCCTGTATAACCTTGATTTGATATCATCTCCACATCCTGGGGTCTTAAGGGCTGTCCATTCAGCCTGTGCAAGATATTCTTCTGCTTGGGAGAGTTTCCCTAGTCCTAAACATCAAGAAACAGACCACTAAATATTGTGATCAGGGCATGGCTTGGTTGGTTAGTATGCTGCCTTGCAAGGCAAGAGGTGCATAGTTTGATCCTCAGTGACCTCACATTTGTTCTGCAGAGCAGGTGTGGCTTGTTTGACTAGTGTGCTGCCTGCTAAGCAAGAGGTCCATAGTTTGTTCCTTAGTGACCTCACACACTTGTTTTAAGGAGCAAGTGTGGCTTGGTTGGTTTGTGTGCTGCCTGCTAAGCAAGAGGTCCATAGTTTGATCCTCAGTGACCTCACATTTGTCCTGCAGAGCAAGTGTGGCTTGGTTAGTTTGTGTGCTGCCTGCTAAGCAAGAGGTCCATAGTTTGATCCTCAGTGGCCTCACACACTTGTGTCAAGGAGCAAGCGTGGTTGGTTTATAGTGCCTCTAGCCTTACCTATACTTGCTTCACCAAGGATAAGATATGAAGGAACCAGTTCAATACTACTCAGACCATATATATCAATAGAAAATTTAAGCGATTGCAGCGCGGCTGGTACCGCTCTGTCGTACTTTCCCTCAAAGAGTAACTTCTGTCCTTCTGTACGGCAAAGATCTATCATTTGTTGCTAAATAAAAAAAATCACAATAATAAAGCTCGATATTGCTATATTATCATTTTTTAGAGGATTTTTCTTAATTACCTTTCGTAAAATTTGTTTGTGTTTTCGTTTTTGTCGTTCTTCTTCGGACCCAAGAAAAGGAATCGGCGAACGAAGAGCCATCAACAACTGGCATATCTTTTCATGTATACCAAGCCAGTCGGCTTTCTGGTGTTCAGGACCACTGCAATACAAGGTGAGAGACATTAAGAGAGAAAAATAACACTGTGGTCAACAGAAAAATCTCGTTTTTCACACGTTGAAACTTTACCAATAATAAGTCACTCGGCACTCAGTACACTGGACAAAAGCTGGCTTCTGGCAGAGCTCACAGCATAATTTAACCCCTTTGGGGTTCGCTAAAGGGTTTATAGTGTTCATTTTGAGAATATCGATGATAAAATCGCGCAAAATAAAGAGAGAAAGTCACTTCTTCTCGGACGCCATTTTGTGATTCTTTACGTTGCTAGTAGCAACAAACAGCTGAGCCTTATCACTGCGGGCACATAGGATCTTTTCTAAGGTGTTTTTTAATATAAAAAGCAAAAAATAACCGAATAGAATTATATAAACGTTTTTATTTGATCTTTATGAAGGCTTTTTTTGCTTTATGAATTGTTTTAAACGACTTTATGATAAATCTAGTTTTAAAGATATAGTAGCGCGGAGACTGGGTCGAGGGCCATATTTCTCCCTCATGTCTTGCTTTACTAAACTGGAATTTTCTTCACCCGAAGTTGAAGATTTCTTACGGAATTCTTTTAAATCAATAGAGGTAGGTTAATAAATACACTTAATAATGATATATTTGTGTTTTACCCTTAAAAAACCAGATTTTAGAAGGAAAGATTGGAGTTGAAATTTTATTTGAATTTTGGGAATGACTGAAAATAATGGCGGGCATTTTAAACTATTCTTTAATCCGTAGCCAAGTCTTCAGTCAATATTAGTGTCGAAATATGAAATTATATTATAAATAAATTTCATTATGTTTGTTAGATATGATTGAGAGTTTCTTGAACAATAAGCATTGAAAAGTCTATATGAAAAAGCTATATTTTTGTGTACACCTACTTGCAAGAACGTTGTCATACGAAAATAGAACATTAGTGATTTGGTGGAATAGGAATTATATTAAAAAACAAAAGGTCACTGAAGCTGAACTTTTTCTTTTGTCTTTTAATGTATTCCTTTCTCACTAAATTACTAATGTTCTAATATCGTATGACTACGTTCTTGCAAGTAGGTGTATGTGTGTGGAGAGAGATATAGATAGATAGAGACAGGGTGGTTGAAGTTTGTAGTAGGCCATTCTCTGCTTTTGATGAGCTATTACATCCTTCTCAAGCATATAAATAGAACCAGTAACAATCCTTTATTATCTTTGGTGCAATGATTTCCAATAAATTCAGCCCACTAGTCATTCTCTTGAGATAAAGGTTCTTTGTTTGAATTAATGTATGGATCATTTTCATGTGTCTTCTCATGTGCAACTATTAAGAAAGGAATCATACTCTAGGGAATAATATGTGGTTTGAAACAGATTAACCTTAAACCCAAGCTAAAGGGTTTATTCTGTCATTTTTATACAGGATGAAGATCATAAGGAAAGCTTAACAAGTAAAACGAATCATGAAGAAGATTCCTGGTTTGATTTGCTACTGAAATGTCTAACTATACCACCACTATTTACAACTGTAAGAGTTAATACTTGTAAGATCTCTGTTGAAGATGCTAAAAAGCAGCTGGAAAAATTTCTTTACATGGTAAGTGGAAGTTTCCTATATTTGAACATGAACCACACAATATACGCTCCTCAGATCCTCCCCACCCCTAGGAAATTCCACTCATTTTATGTGGGAAGTATGGATATTTCCTGGAACTACTTAATATATCCTTTTCAAATTCTCAGTGGGGTGTTATGGGGTACTCTTGCCCGTTTAGGGTAGGGTTGTGCCGCTGAGCCCTCTGAACCCTGACCCTGTTCCAGAGTAAAATATTGCTGAAATTCATGCCCTGTTCCAGAGCAAGATTGCTGAAAATCATGAACTGTTCTGGTATTGCGAAAATGGATACCCTGATCCAGAGAGGAGAGAGTGTGATTTCATGTACCTTGTTCCAGAGCGAGCTTGATTAGATATACCCTGTTCCAGAGAGGAGAGAGTGTGATTTCATATACCCTGTTCCAGAGCGAGCTTGATTTTATACACCCTGTTCCAGAGTAGAATCGCTGAAAACCATACCCTGTTGGGCGGCACATACCCGTATAGTGAATATAGGGGAGTACCCCCCCGGGCTTAGCCTTCACCAAATTAAATTTGATATTAAACTATCAAACTATTTTTTCCTTTTTTTATTTAATGTAGCAATACAAATCAAAAGGGCAGGACTGTCCAGTAGTCCGTCCACATCATTCTCTTCCAGATGTCCTTGTCATACCAGGAACAGGACCGCATGACATGACGCCATCCAGAAAGGAGATCATAGTAGACACCATCTGTGGGACGGCCGTTCTAAGAGGTGCTGATGTCTTTGCGCCTGGAGTCATGGGTGCTCATCCAGGTACGCAAATAAGTTAACAATATATGCTATTTCAGGGTAAGGAGGGTCTGCGGAAGGTATATTATGCAGGGGATTGGAATTTAAAGGGGTTGAAAGAGTCTGAGGAGGGTATATATATTTTAGGGGGATGAATTCCAAGGGGTGTGGAGGGACATAACTTTCCCTTCAAAGATTTGGGGATTGGACTTCCAGAAGGATAGTACTAGAGGAGCGAAGCATTATATAAATCATTTAGAAACTTTTTTCCCATTATATTTTACAGGAATACAAAAGGGAGATGAAGTTTCAGTGTATGCAGACCTTGATAATGGCTGCCGCAAGGGATTCGCTAAGCCTTATGAAGGAAGAAAGATGTTTGTTGGTAATGGAACGGCGCTCATGTCAAGGAGTGACATTTTTTGTGACAATTCGAATATCAGGTAATATTTAATACTGCAATTTTCAAATGGGTCTGGAGAAGGAGGGGGAGCAGGGCGGGGGGGGG